AATAATACTAGATTTATTTAGCTCACAATTTCAGAGCAAATATTTTAACTAGGGACTCATGGATATGTAGTCGTAGAATTTTATAACCGGAATTTGATTGTCAACCGTCCTGTTGGCATGCACAGCAAAAGCAAGTCCTGGGACATTTATTATCAAGAGTAAAACTTTACTGACAGATCCATATAGACACAGAAGAAGCGAAGCCAGTTCTCAGGTTTTGATGCGAAGCGTGGTAGAATGAAGCCTCCTTTTCCTTCCCCAAGGCCGCCCAGTGTCCACTGTCCATCAAATCCAGTTTAAGCATCTTATTTTGGGAAAACAGTCTTCACTTCATGACCTTGGGGTTGTAAGATTTTCTCAGGCTGCAAACTGCTCACATGAATTCCTTCTTTCGCTCCCAGTTTCCCACACATTCCAATCATACCCCTCCATGCAAGCAGAAAGAGATCTTTTGCAAGTCAACTTTGACATGGATTTTAATTTGTCTTATAACATATGAAACATAATTAGATGCATTATATTTTTGGATATATTTAGTAACTTCATATGTTTAAAATCAGGACAATTCCAGTTAGTGTAATAGATAGTGGGGCCCTATCATGTCACCTCACCTTCACATTATCTGTGAGGTCCAGTAAACATGAAAAAGAAATTGAGTTAGTTTCACCTTAAGATCATAATAAACATGCTTAATATTCTTTAACACCTTAGTCACTGATTTTCTAATAAAAATCACACCAGTTCTTCATTAGTTGTTTACAAACAACTAATGTTGAATCATAGAATCATCCAAAATTTCAATAATGATAATATCTCAGATGTTTTTGGATGCTGCTGAGCTTCTGAACCAAGTGTGAAATGAAGAGATAATTAACAGTATTTATATACTCCATTGGTATAGCCATCCATCTAACACCAGTTACTTGGGTGGAGAACAATCAAAACAACAATTAAAAAAATTAAAACACAACACAAAACACACAAATAGCAGCCAAATAGCATTCTAATCTGTTGATATCAACATGACTAGGAAATTAAACCCTTCAAATACTTGGGACTCCAGACCCTGGCACATAGTCAAGTCTTCAAGGCCTTTCGAAAGGCCAACAGGGTTGGGGCCATCCTAATCTCAGGAGGCAGACTGTTCCAGAGGTCAGGCACTATGGCAGAAAAGGAGCATTTCCTGATTCCCATTAACTGACATCCCATGGCTGACTGGACGTTAAGCATGCCCATCCTGTCAGACTGGATTGGTTGGGTAGAAACAACTGGGACAGTACCTCAGGTAACCCAGTCTCAAGCCATAAAGGTGTTTAATGGTGACAACTAGCATTTTGAATTGCACCCAGAAACAGTGGTAGCCAATATAGTCTTTGAAACAGTGATGTTGCGTGTCAAATAGCCAGCACGATTTACAAGCCACCAGTGGAAGTTTCCGAATGCTCATCAAGGGCAGCCCCATATAGAGTGCATTGCAGTAAGTATATTGCCGTATACTTTAGGCAATTCGAATGCTTCCCGCAATAACTGAATATGCAATATGCAAAAGAAAAATCCATGCAGAAACCCCTGACAATTTTCATAAATAAGTTATTTGGCACATATATTTCAGTAGAGCTACCTTTCCTACGTAGGTGGTTATTAAAGCAATTGCAATTGGTTACAATTTTGGGGGAAATATTTATTAAAAGGAGTCATATTATTAATTGCTGTGCTTATAAATAGGAGTCTTGTTTAAAATGATTATCAAGTGTTTTTTGCAGTCATGGTTCATCTCTGAAGCAAGGCAGACTATTACTGTGCTATCCCAGAAAAAAAGCAGTAACTATATTACTGCCTATAGCAGCTGTATATGCTCTGCTAAGAATAATAAACAATCTGATCGAGAAAAGTAAATCTAAGTGGATTGTAAAAGCAATAAACATGAACTATCCATACAAAAATTCAAATAAATATCTACAGTTCAAATTCATAATAATAATACACAACCATTAGTAGTCCCTATGTACATCTCAGGTACATACATTCACAAAAGTCTGCCTAGACACACATTTGATTGGGATAAATTTCTTTTTCAAAGTCAGTTGTTTAAGATTATATTAGCAACAGAATAATGAGAACATCATTGATGTACTTCACTAATCCAAGGCTGTAGCCTTCGACTTCAGATCCATTAAGGTCATCGCAGTCAATCATATATTCACTCTTATGTCAAGAGAAAACAGGAACCCTGTGGGTTGTCCATGGTCCTCACAATCATTTTTATGATGTGAACTTTCATAGGATTTACAGTACCAAAATAATAATAGCACAACAATGCAGTGCATTTTCTTTTTATACTTTTATCATACAGGAATACAGGTTTGTGAAAAAGCCCTGCACACTTTCAGTTTTAAGCTGTATTTACATGTTTAATCAACTTTTCGCTCACAGAAACCACGCAAAATTAGTACTTCGATGAAAATTTCTGTAGTCGGATTGCGATGATAATTTTTATTAATCTAACCAAAGTCTTTTTAAGGTTTTGAGTGAGTTTGTGTGCTAAAACAAACACAACTTGAATTTTCGAGAA